GTAGTGGGAGTAATATATACTGCCAAGTCCTGGCATGGAAGTTTGTTGGATGTGCTTATGGAGGCTATCCAAGTCCTGTGGCTGTGCCTGGAGCCATCTATCTGAACCCAGGAGGGAGGGTGTCATTGATTAAAAGCTGGCTCTTCGCTGCAGGGCCCTTGATCAACATCTAAATATCTGTTATAAATTTTTGAGGAGTAATTGTGAGATCAGTTGCTAGTTTTTTCCTAATGTATTCATAGGGGAATTTGTGAAATCTTTTCATTAGGATTTAAGGTGGAAAAATAGTACAAGGACAAGTTACAGAGGTTCGGAGAAGAGAAACACACCTAGAAATGTTTTCAAATAGTTTGTACGTATTATATTAGGGAGTCCTGGTATAGCTCTGTAAGATAAACATTGGACGACTAACCACAAGATCAACTACTCATGTCTACCAGCCAATCCTTGGAAACCCTACACAGGGATGCTATGAGTGGAACTGACTTGAAGGTACTTAACAACAACAACATTATGTTAGGTACAGTTGTTGTTGAGTCCTGGTGTGGAACTGTAGGATACTCACTGGACTACAATTGTAAGATTGGCAGTTCAAACCTACCAGCTGCTCCTTGGAAACCCTATTCAGAGTCACTATGAGTCAGAAGGAACTCAATGGCATTTAACAACAAAAATGTTGTTAGGTGCCCTTGAGTCTGTTCAGACCCATAGCAACCTCAAGTGCAACAGAGTGAGAAACACTGCCAAGTTCTGCACCACCCTCACAACCTTTGCTCTGTTTGAGCCCATTGTTGTGACTACTGTGTCCCTTAGTCTTTCCTGTTGAGGGTCTTCCTCTTTTTCAGTCATCCTTTAGTTTACCAAACATGATGTCTTTCTCCAGAGTCTGGTCCCCCTGATAATAATGCAAATGAAGTCCTGAGGTCCTGAGGGAAGAACAAAGTTGAAACCTACTGTATTCTTGTTCCTTTTGTTAAGTGAGCTTTTCTGCAAGGAAAAAGTGTCACATTAAAGTTGTCTCCTTTTGGGTTTTGAATGTGACATATCTTTGAATGTGGCATGTCATGGCTTGTCCAGGGAACTAGACTGTGAGTTTAGGTAAAGACCTGAGGGAAAGATAACAGAGGGCTCTTTCTCATTAGAAAACCTCGAGTTTCAACCAACTTCTGCTTAAAACTCTATCTTCAGCATAATCTCTTAACTTTGTTGTTATAAAACAGTAATATTATACAATGAAGGTGGCTACAGCAGTGATTTTTTTTTACTTAAATTCGTTCATTGAAAATTCTTCTACTTCAGACGTGGCTTCAAAAATTCGTGGAAAAACTCCATTATGGTTTTTTTTTTTTTAACTGTTTTTATTGTGAGCTGGTAGCGTAGTGGTTATGAATCGGGCTGTGGACCTTAAGGCCAGCAGTTCGAAACTACCAGCCGCTCCATGGGAGAAAGATGAGGCGTTCTGCTCCTGTAAAGATTTATAGCCTCGGAAACCCTGTACAGGGTCGCTATGGATCAGAACCAACTCGACGACACTTAACAACAACAACAACATACATGGGAGAACATCAGCTTTACATTCATCCTGTCATATTTTGTTTCATTGCAATGATAACATTCCCCTCATGCATCATTATATAACCAAAGGGTACACCCCACAGGCCTGCCCACCCCCCCTCCGGCCACCAGCACACAGCTGCTCTTCCTCCCTGAGTTCAGTGCCCCCAGCCACTCCATCTCTCCATGTCACCGGCTCTGTCTCCATCCCTGGCATTTCTGCCTCTCTGGGTAGGGTCCTGCTCTCTGTTCTTCTCACTTGATGGTCCCAGGGACCTCCACTCTTGGGCTGCAAAATCAATCTCTCCCCTCATTTTGTCAAAAAACATCTACCT